AATATTGTCATCACAGCAACCTTGAGACATCCACCCACTACGAGTCACTACTCTGATTTATGAAATCCTAGTCACAGAGTCACACACACCGACATCGGAACAGGGGTAGGAATTTTACACTGCACCTTTCAAAGCGTACATCTCTTTAGCATCGGTTACCTGAAACCAGAAATATTTCATACCCGCACTGACCTCTACATGGACCGCATGGACCGCTACCCAAACATTCTTGCCACATACAATGGTACTTCCACGTACAAATTTCACAAAACTCGCACTTAAAGGCAGGGTGAATATCGCTTGAGGATTCCTCAACGGCACGTCGAGGATTCTCTGCCCGATCAGAGACGATCTCTCGCGCGGACATTCACACTCGCCATGGCGTGCCGTCTGTGCTCTCCGCGCGGATGTTCACTCTCGGCACTACTCTCGCATGGTAGAGAGCTATGGTCGAGGAAATCCTCGACCGTTATTCACCCTGCTTGAAGGTGTTCCTGGAGAAGGCTCTGGAACAGAAATGTGGTGCACGTGGAAACAATGTTTTTTTTTTGAAAAATCGCTATACCTAACCCACAAAGTTGATTCATAGCTCTAAATTGTTATTTGTAACGAAAATGAAAATGAAAATGAAAAAAAAAACTGTCAAGTGACCTAAGGTTTGCGACTACTTGATACTTACCGTTAGGAAATGGGTGTAGCACCGTCTCCATGACCGTCATTAGTACTTATCTATATACAGGGGTGGCCAAAAAAAGAGACACTTCACTCCACATTTCAGACAGCATTAATCACACTTTGCTAGAATCAAATCGACTGACCCCAACTTAGTATTAAAGAGCACATTCTAATCTATCTAAAGTTACATGACAGCCTTCTACACGACGACATCAGAAGATTTTCCCACGGAAACGGTACGAGCTCAACGAGGTCGTCGAGGTACCATAGACCATTACGACGTCCCTGAAACGCTGGTCAAAAGCGGTCTTGCACAGTCACAGCTAGTGTCTCTTAGAAGCTATTCACCAGTTAATCATTGAAGAAATTATGTAGCAGCTTCAGGCCGGAGCGATTACGGTAAGCCTCGTTGAGCTCGACGGTGACGACAGATGACGTCATATTCTGGAGACGGTGACGCATTGAAGTCGGCGCCTTCCTGTGCGACACGCCAACAAAGTTCGATGATGGCGCCATAGAAACAATGTTCTTTTTTGGGCCACCACGCCCTTGTACCTGTTGGTCACATTTTAATGATCTGGTTGCTGAGTGTCTGCAATGTATAGTTCGTTGTGCTCTCCCGCTCAAACGTCCAGTCTTTTTTCGTCATAGCACAAGTTCAAATCATCGGAAAGTGTTCATGCGAGATTGGCCCCCTAGAAAGAAAACATGAAAACCGTCGAAAGGGCTACAGATGAGGTATGCGAAAACGATCGATGCTTAGTAAAGACAGAGGGAAAGGCTCATTACATAGATTCCTTAATTTGGCAGTGCAAGAGATATGAAATAGGGTAGTTGCTTCGAGTCAAAGGCTTTCGCAAAGAGGCTGCGCTATGGTGAGAGAGGAGATCATGAGACGAGAGAGCACGAACAGATGAGAGGGCTCAACAAGGCCTGACTCTCGAATTTCTGAAAACACTGCTGCTGCTTTAGCTAACTTTGACACCGGCCGCCATTCGATCTCATATCTCATGCCACGGACCGTCCACTGTGATTAGCCCATCTGGGATTTCATAACGAAAGGAGTTCGTTCACGACTAGCTTCTGCCTTAGTTATACGACCTTTGATTCTAGTGTTTCCATTTTTGTTTTGATTTTGTTTTTTCTCCCTCTTTCTATGATGGTCAGACTTTCCCACATCTCTGTTTCTGTAATCAATCAAAGCCAATTCCGATAATTCGTAACCGACTGTGCTTCGTAGTTTACGTGCATGACGAATATAGAACTGCATTCGGGACACTTATGTTCAGGATTAGTTCATGATAGAGTCCGGGTTTTTCGACACTATCTGTCAGACAAGTCTGCTTCGCTATCAGTTGCCATTAACCTCTACCTGTTATATATATATTTTCGTTGCCCTTTGAGAGCTATAAAATCCTACAAATACTTCTTTCTTACATGAGACAGCAATACAGGACATAGTTTACTCCTCCTGCATAATTGTTACTGTTCCTGTAAGTGTTCACCTTTGAATGAAATTTGAAACGTTCTGATCAATAACTTCTTATGGCTGGTGATTCAGAATAGTGCTATCTGCTCACCCCCGCGCGCATAACGAACTAGGCTCCAGTAGAACTGAGCACAGAGGAGCTTTTGTATTGAGCAGCATGCATGCGCTCAGTGAGCTGACTGATGCTATTAACGAAAGGTAACTTTAGTGCTGGTGATATGCAGTCACGTTGTAGGAAACTCGCAATAATAATTCACCACCCCAATACTTTCAACAGGAATTTTCTCAACGTCTGATGGCGTCGCTTGTTGGAAGGTTTGAGAATCGAGACAGTCCTTCGACGGCAAAATTTTGCAGCAAAGACTAGAACACATATACAAGAGACTGTGTGGATGATAAACTGCTTCAGCGAACAAATGGGGTTCGATTCTTAACCATGACGCAGTATTAAGCAGCCCATCTGCAAAATGCACCGTGTAAATTTCTAAAATTTATCCATTTTGGTTTCGAGGATCTTCTACCATCCTTCATGTAATCCCAGTACATCTTCGATGAACTACTAATCCGCCGCTGATCAACGCAGTTCTTGGAAGAGAAATCGCTTCGAGAAGAGGATTCCGTCGACATCGCCTTCCAAAGGCTTAAGCTTACAATAATTCAGTTTCCCTTTATAAACGACAGCCTTGCATGGGTATGATTGACAACAATATGTGACTGTAATGATTTTTATTTTAAACAAAAGTTTGTGTTTCAGCATAGTTGAAGTGCTTAATACCAAAACGGACCGACGTTATGTAAATGATCCTCTAGGCCAAATTAAAAATAGAATTTTATCATTATCATCTGTTGGGCGATGCTAATGCATGCGTCTAGTTTAGCAATTGTGTGCGTAGCGCGCTCTCAGTAGAAACGCTGAAGCGCACAGAAGTGAATCTCCTTTAACACTATATATGCGTATCAGAAGAAAGAAAGCAATGTCGTTGACGTTCATACGTGTGACGAACGCAGTAGTGTTAAAGACTGAACACCAAATTAATGAGAAAGCGAATGAAGAGTTCAATCGAAGGGGTGATAAGTTTATTCAGAAATCTTAAAAATTATTCAATATTTCATTTACACGTGTTCTCTTCAACTTTGAAGCGTTTCAAAATGTGGTACAGCGTGGCCATATTTCAGCTATTTCTAGGTTATTATTGCGGATAACTACACGATTATCTTTATCGCTACTGGACCAATTCACAAACAGCCGTTGGGACAAGTTTTTGTGATTGTATTCATCGCTGTGTTTATTACATCGGTTTTGTTGATTGCCGACAGTTTTCTTTACCGCTATCTCCAGGTTTGCAAGTAAGTGAGACAAATTGTGGCAAGTTCTTATTGGAGATCTCAAGTGAACCTGGCAGGGACCATAGCATATTGAGTCTTTTAAAAAGCTCTGCCGTTTTTCATCCATGAAACTCAAATGCGTGTATCTGTGCATAGGCAAGACATCTTCAACTAAAATAAAATCGGCAGACCTCGTTTAATAATCCCAATGAGTGCTCTCTTCATAGAACCTCGGCATCATTGTTGAATTCTGTGTTTCTCTTCGGTTCGACACGTTGGATCCACAATAAATTTGTCACCTAAAAACCTCGTTGGCAGAAGAAAAACACAGAAAATCTGAAGAATTTTCGAACCTCCAACAGTACGATACCTTTCAAAATGTCAGGTTATACATGTGTGGAGTCATCTCGGGAATGCATCATGCCTGTTGTATATGTAGGTTACAACGAGCCATACCCTAGGATCTCCTTTGATTCACTGATGCTTTACTGATACTTGTAGTAGCATCGTCTTCAGTGCACTTCACGGAAATTACCCACTTGCATTAAGATGGGTGAATAATACTGCCATTCGTTTATTGTCATGAATTCGGAAAATTCTGCAAAACCAATGTTGCACAATATTTGCTTTGTGCACAAGCGGTCTACCTTGCTGTTGTGTCTAGTGATTTCTCTCCGGGGTCTCTTCAACCAGGTGCATTTATTAGGTTCGAAGGAAATCGAGATGTTTGGTTAGCGCTCTTGTTACCGTAATTTTTGCCCACCCTGTATATTACTGGGTCACAACATCATTCCGTAACCCTGCTAGTTCAACTTTTGCAGGATCCGATGTGATTGAGACATCTGTCAGAGATGTGTTGATCCCCCTATGATGAGGAACTGCGCAAAAGTGTTGGAGTTTTCCATGCATGTTAACGTTTTGTCAGGAGTGATTTCCCGCTGTAGTAATCCTCGTCATCCCAGCGGGCTGGGCCGGCCACTGACCTATGTAGGCCAACCATGACCAACTTTAGCGCAGTTTCACTTCCCAGTTTTGCGAATGGTTTTGTGGAGCGCTTAATCAAGATGAGTCCGTTCAGCAAAGCTTTGTAGGCTGTAGCGGATTCGTTCCACATAGCATGGCACAGTATGGTAGCAGAACGTCAACTTTGATGGATAAAGAAGGTAGATATTGAGGAAGACCCTTCGACTTATTGATTTGTTGAGGCACTCATTCACTAGGTTTTTGTGGACTCCCATCGACTCCCGCACATGGGAACTTTAAACTCAAGTTACGTGAAAAAGAGGAACCTCCTTAATAGTGTGGTTGAAGCAGTCTTCTAGGTAATCGTTGTCCGTGTAGGTAATATGTCCAAGATCCGTCCATCACCCTAACCGTCCTCAACAAACTCACCACGTTGCGAGATTTTCTTTGCACAGCCGCTTCATAGCATACTTGTTCAGAACTTGAGCATCCTTCGATACTTGCCTGCATCCGTTTCCCTCTAGACTTGTAAATAAAATCATAAAAAATGCTCCAGAATGAAGGTGACCCAAAGTGTTCAATAGAGCATGAAAAACTATTCAAAATGATGCCCATAACATGGGCAACTCGCTCGAACTAGAAAAAACATCATTCAAAAGTGTCAAGAGACGACAGAAATTCCTAGAAGACCTAATGCGTAGACGTCACAGGGAATATCTATAGAAAAACCAACATGAAATGATATCTTTCCTGGTGGTTACTATACAGCTTTGTTTGAACGGTGCGATGCAGTGTCTAAAAGCAGCATTTTTTATCGCCTTGATATCACCCCTTTTGAGTGAGGTGGTGGTGAGAATTCTCACTGTATCATTTTAGGCATCATCTCTTTGAACATATTCTGGCTCCACAAAATATTTCAATCATAATTTTCATTAACATAGCAATTTTTGCTAACTGGATCGCATTTATGTACATAGTATGCTGGCCAAATGAAGCAGTTGCTGGAAGTGTCGGCCACATTGTTCGAGCAATAACTGGTCTGGATCCTTCCGAGTGCGCATATATTGGACTTTCCATAAAGGTTAGTTCTTTTATGTAAGTACCGATGAAAGCTTTATTTGACCGCTGACACTCTTATTCTTGTAAACTGCAGCATATACGACGCCAAGTAATAAAAAAGATGGAGACGCACAGCTAAAAATTTGATACGATTGTATTTTTCTATAATTTCTGTTCTAATTTATTTCTATAATTGCATTCATTGTATTCCAATCTCTTCAAACTTCTCTCTAATGTGTTGTGCACCCGAAGCGCGTTAATGCTTCCTGCCCTACTGGATATCTTGCTTATTGAAATGCAAACTATTACAGTATTGTGGGCTCCCTGTTTCCTATGCTCCGGCTGCAGCGCCGCGGTATTTGAGGTGAACTCGACACGCAAGCGCTCAGTTTATTGCCGAATCTCACTGCAACCTGGCAGTCGTGGAATGCCCCTCTTTCATAGGCCCATGGAAGGGTGGTACCGGAAGTGATTATCTGTGTGATTGGTTCACCTTCTATGACGGCGTCATCATTGTCCATCGGCTTCCAACTGCATTAAGTCTCGGTGACTCAAGTATCATAAAAATACGATTATCAAAGAAAATAACATGCTTATAATATCATCGCAAATCGTGGTGGGTGGCGCTGCGACGGGAGTCGATGGTTGCACGGCGTTGAAGATTAGCGCCTTACACGCGCTTTGTGCGACGAAGTCGGCATGGTGTAAACAGATACGGACCCCACAATTTGCCTCGTGGTGTCCTTCCTACTATTCGGGCCAATTCCGTGGCTTGGCTTCGAAGGCATGCCCAATTGTCGATGATGGTTATTGCACACGGCTAATGTGTTGGTGCGAGTAGGCTGAGAGTAGAGAAAAAAGTGATTGTGTCGGAAACGCAGGTTAAGAGCTCACTCTCCTTCGCAATCGGCTGAGCTAAGACGCAGCGAGAAGAGTATAAGTGAGAGTGCGCAACAGATGAGAGGCACCGCAAAAAAGATGCATCTGCAGCAACTTACTTTGCAAGACCCTAGCGCTTTTTTTGGTTGATTTTCGTCCGCAAGAATGCTACAACTCGACTAATCGTGATAGTCCTATAACCTATAGACAGAAGAAAACCTTAACGCGACTTCTGCCTGAATTGGCAATTTTGCTTCCAACCCCCTTTGTTGACATCCGAAGTGCCGCTTAGATAAGGACTATAGGTACGTGTCACGCACGCGAATGTGCACCTACATCATGCAAAAAACCGATTTCCAAAAGCGGGACGATCTGACAGGGAAGGATACCAGGTCGAAGTGGCCATTTGTAACGAGACATACACCACTAGATGTGTTTTTGGACGCTGATCTCGAATCTGCTCTCCAAATCTGCGGAACGATTCTCTGAACGTAGTTATGAAGCGAGATAGTGCAGTGGCAGCGGCCCGGGCCGACGAGCAAAAGATCGTGAGGTCGACTTGTTGGCGATCCGCTCCTGGTATCCGTAGCACACCCTTCAAGCATTGACGTGCCAGACAGGGAGATATCCATGTTTAGCTCGCTCTTGCTCCAAACTACTCCTTTGAACAACACTTTACTCAAATCTAGAAATTTGACCTGACGTCGAAAATGTGGACAGTCTATCAATTCGCCATCCCACTGTCAAAATTTGACCATGGGATGGAATTAAGTTTCAGTTAAATTTGTGAGAAGCAAAACACATAAAGTATGTCTTTTGTTTTTGTTTGTTAACTGCTGTTTTTGGCCGCAGTTCGCCTTGCGAATGTCCCGCCTGGGGCGAAAGTTTTGTTCACAACCCAGCATTCTTGTGAAACATTCGCAAGGCGAACTGCGGCAAAAACAGCAGTTAACAAACAAAACAAGTCAAAATTCATTGCTAAAGCTTTCAGCCTCGCGGTCATTGCCGATATCGGCTAACCGGCTCAACACGTTATACGTGTGAGTGCTGAAAGCTATGGTACGTATACCATGAAAAGCTGAGTTGGGATGAAATGGTGCCCCGGTAGCGTAACTGGTAGCGCACTTGCCCGGAAAGCGAGAGGTGCGGGTTCTAGTCCCGCCTGGGGCGAAAGTTTTGTTCACAACCCAGCATTCTTGTGAAACATTCGCAAGGCGAACTGCGGCCAAAAACAGCAGTTAACAAACAAAAACAAGTCAAAAAATGTCTTTTGTCTTATTCGCTTGCGTCATCCGAGTATATGCATGGTATTTCCAATAACAACTTCCGCTGTCGTCCATAGTAGAACAGCTACAGGGTAGTGGCTAGTGATAAAAAAAAGACTGGTTGTCAGCCAACTTTTTGAATGTTTAGATGTAAGTTTTCTAAAATTCGTCTTTGAAGATTTTGAACCGCTGAGCAAGCACATCACTGTTTGTTCCGTCGCGAGATGACGTCGCTCTCTGCGACTTGGAACACCCTCAAACTTGTAGAATAGTTGATTGGAAACTTTCCTGCAAGGGATATCCTAGAAGTAAACCTGCAAACACGCGATATTGTGTTAATTTCCACACTGTATAGTAATAACTGTGTGTCAATTTTACGGTTGTGGAAGAAAACAAAGAAGACAGAGAGCAAAAGACCATTAACGGCTTCAAGAAGTCAAGTCACTGCGTCATTCTGAAGATAGGTTGCCTTGAGCTAGATGACGACGACGGACATCGTATTCTGAAGGCGGTGAAGACAGTGAGCAAGGCCTCTTTCCTATCGACGGAGCGACATCCATCAATAAAAACAACGGCACT